CAAATAAAAAACTTTATTGAGATATAATTCACATGCCATACAATTCACTGGCTTAAAGTATATAACTCAATGGTTTTTAATATATCCATAGGTGTGTGATTGTCACCACAATCAATTTTAGAAGATTTTCATCACCCCCAAAAGAAACTGGTATTCTTTTTGAGTCACCCTTCCCCCATTTGCCTCCAACAACCCCCTCCCAGCTCTAGACAGTCACCAATCTGATTTCCGTCTCTATAGATCTGCCTATTCTGGACATTTCATACAAATACAATGTGTGTGTGGTCTTGGAACTGGCTTCTTTCACTCAGCACATGGTTTTCAAGGCTCATTCACATTGTGGCATGTATCAGTGCTTCATTCGTTTTCATTGCCAAGTAATAGTGCCTTGTACCATGTTTTATTTATCCATTATCATGATGGAAATTTGGGTTGTTTCCACTTTTCAGCTGTTACGAATAATGCTATGATGAACATTTGTGTAAAAGTTTTTGTGTACAAGTTTTTGCTTTTATTTCTCCTGAGCATAAACGCAGGAGTGGAATTGCTGGGCCATCTTGTAACTCTATGATTTAAATTGCGAGGAAACGTCATACAGGTTTTCAAAGCAGTGGCACCATTGTACATTTCCACCAGCAATGTACGAGGTACCCAATTTCTCCATCTCTTTACCAGTGCTGGTTATTGCCTGTCTTTTGGATTATAACCATCTTAGTGGCTATGAAGTGGTATCTCATTGTGGCTTTGATTTGCATTTCCTTGATGGCTAATGATGTTGTCTTTTTTTTCTTTTTGTATTTTTAAAAACCAGAACATCTGTTACGCGACTAATCGGTGAAATTCTTAAGATGAACTGGATGCTGCAACACTTGCCCTCTTGGGTTTAGGTGTTGTTCCTTCACGGAATCCATGCCTGAATCTGTGATATACAATTTTTAGGTGCCTCATTCAACCAGTCCGAGTGTTATATCATCTTTTAGCCTTGGGACTCCAGTTACACTTTCTCTTGTGCTTGGCGGGGTAGCCACATTTGCCACAGGTCGACTTCTGAAGGTGGTAGGCCTTAGAGCCACAGCGGCGGCACAACATCTGTATCTTATTGCGACGCTTTCCAAACGATTATGTTCCTTTTGTCATCTTGTTTCTGCAGCTGAGACCAGAGCAATGTTGAGAATCTTTTCTTGTGCTTATTGGCCATGTGTATATATATATATATATATCTTCTTTGAAGAAATGTCTATTTAGATCCCTCACCCATTATTTATTTATTTTTTTTTTTTTTAGACTGGGTCTCACTCTGTTGCCCAGGCTAGAGTGCAGTGGCATGATCTCGGCTCACTGCAACCTCTGCCTCTCAGGCTCAAACGATCTTCCCACCTCAGCCTCCCCAGTAGCTGGGACTATAGGCCCATGCGTGCCCAGTTAACTTTCTGTATTTTTAATAGAGACAGGATTTTTGCCATGTTGCCCAGGCTCCTTACCCAGTTATTTGTCTTTTTATTATCGAGTTGTAAGAGTTCCTTGTTTATTCTAGATATAAGTCCCTTACCAGGAATATGATTTGAAAAATCTCCTCCCATTTTGTAGGTCACTGTATTTATTTGCCAAGGCTGCCATAGCATAATAACACAGACTGGGTGACTTAAACAACAGAAATTGGCTGGGCACAGTGGCTCATACCTGTAATCCCAGCACCTTGGGAGGCCGAGGGGGGTGGATCACTTGAGGTTAGGAGTTCAAGACCAGCCTGGCCAACATGGTGAAACCTATCTATATTAAAAATACAAAAACTAGCCTAGTGTGATGGCAGGCACCTGAAATCCCAGCTTCTTGGGAGGCTGAGGCAGGAGAATCACTGGAACCTGGTTGGCAGAGGTTGTAGTAAGCCAAGATCCTGCCACCGCACTCCAGCCTGGGTGACAAGAGTGAAACTCTGTCTAAAATAAAATAAACCTCAAAATTTATTTCTCACAATTCTGAAGGCAAAAATTCTGAGATCAAATTGTTGGCAGGTTTGGTCCCTGGTCTGCCCCCCAGGCCTGGGTCCTCTCTCCTTGGCTCGTAGTTGACTTTCTTCTCCCTGTGCCTTCTGCCGCTGGCCTTTCCTCTGTGTGGCGCATTTCTAGTGTCTCTTCCTTTCCCCGTCCCCCTCCTCTAGTGTCTCTTCCTATGAGGACACCGGTCATTGGTGAGGGCCCCATCCTAAGGGCCTCAGTTTGAGTTGATCACCTCTCTAAAGACCTTATCTCCACCGACAGTTACACTCTGAGGTTCTGGGACTGTAACTAGTACAGTTTAGCACGTGAATGGGGGGGCATACAATTCAGCTTAGAACAGTTATTTTTTCACTTTCTTTTTATTCTTTTTCTTTTTAATTTTTTTTAGAGACAAGGTTTTGCTCTGTCATCCATGCTGGAGAGCAGTAGCACAGTCATAGCTCACTGTAGCCTTGAACTTCTATAGGCTCAAGCAATCCTCTTGAATAGCTAGGACTACAGTCATGAGCCACTACATCTGCCTAATTTTGAAAGAATTTGTAGAGACAGCGTCTTGCTATGTTGCCGTGGCTGGTCTTGAGCTCCTGGCCTCAAGTGATCCTCCTGTCTTGGCCTCCCAAAGAGCTGGGATTATAGGTGTGAGCCATTAGGCCCAGCCCTATCTTTTCACTTTCTTGATGATACCCTTGAAAGCATGAACGTTTTTAATTTATCTATTTTTTCTTTTGTTGCTTGTGCAATAGGTATCATATCTAAGTAACCACTGCTTAATCCAAGGGCATGAAGATTTAAGCTTGTTTTCTTCAGAGTTTTTTTGTTTGTTTGTTTTGTTTTGTTTTTGTTTTTTTTGAGACAGAGTCTCACTCTGTCACCAGGCTGGAGTGCAGTGGTGTGATCTTGACTCACTGCAACCTTCGACTCCCTGGTTCAAGCGATTCTCCTGCCTCAGCCACCTGAGTAGCTGGGATTACAGGCATGTGCCACTGGATCTGGCTAATTTTTGTATTTTTAGTAGAAAGGGGGTTTCACCTTGTTGGCCAGGATGGTCTCAATCTCCTGACCTTGTGATCTGCCCACCTTCGACTCCCAAAGTGCTGGGATTACAGGCGCGAGCCAACCCGCGCGGCCTCTTCAGAGAGATTAATAGCTTTAGCTCTTGTGTTTAGATCTACATTTTGCATGTAGTATGAAGCAGGGATCCAAATTCATTCTTTTGCATGTGGATACCCAGTTGGTTGTCCCAGTACCATTTTTTGAAAAAACTATTCTTTCCCCATTAAATTGTCTTGGCACTGTTGTTGCAAATCAACTGGCAGTAAATGTAAGGACTTATGTCTGGACTCTCAGTCTTACTACATTGGTCTATACACCCATCCTTATACCCATACCACACTGCCTTGATTACTGAAGTTTCCTAGTAAGTTGTGAAATCAGGACACACGAGCCCTCCAGCTTATTCTGAATTTACTTTAACTTTTGGTACAAAAGACTGTGTGAGAGGTGAATGAACATTACAGCATTGGAGTCGGGAGCCCCCTCCCTCCAAGGGCCTCATTTTAGGAACCCAGGCTCCAAGTTCCACAGGAGCCTTGGAGAGATAGATTCCCATCCTCACAGCCCACAGCTTATTATAAATCAATGGAAACATTCCGCGAAGAACAATGATCCCCTTGGGTTATTTTACAACATCACTTTAAGTCTTCCCCACCTGCTCTGCTGTCTAATTGCTCTTCCTGAAACAGTGTCATTCACAACTGGATTATTAATGAACGGAGAGGGAGCCAGGGAGCCAATGAGGGCGCCTTGCAGAGTTCCTGGGGAGGGCCTGGGGGCCTGGAACAAGTTCAACCCACAGATTCTCTCGCCCCCAAGAAAGGTGACTGGGCAAACAAGAAATCACTAAACTCAGGTGATGCTGGTGGCCTCCTAAGAACATTGCTAGTGAAAAAAGGATTCGGGAGAGTTTCTCAAACATGATAGCTGAGAATTAAATTAACTGGGTGCCATCCCCAAACTCCCCAGACTTAAACTCTCTCTTTCTCCCAGCTGGCTGGCCCTGGGGGTGCCTAGGGCTCTCATCTGTAGGCCGGGAAAGCTCCGGAAACAAGGCCCTTTGTGGAGAAGAGAAACCTATTGTTCTAAGGCTAGTGTTCAGCAAATGTGGATTCCAGAGAATGTTTGGGGTTGTTTTCTCTGCTTTGTTTATGAACTTTCTCTTCTCTTCCTGCGGTGGTGATGGTGGGGGATGACTCTCAGCAACTTAAATAGTTAAACCTATTGTGGTGTAAAGAAAGGCTGGTACGCAGAGTGCAGAGGCCTTCAGCCCCAGAAAGAGGCTTGAATGAGGTGACAGAAGCCACCGGGTATGTTTTGCTTTGTATTTTTAGCGTTAAATCTCAGGGAAGCAGCCCCTATCTTCATCCTGCACAACTCGAAGGGAAGCAGATGTCAGCAGAGGTACGACCACTTCCTTCCTCCAGCGCTTCACCTCCCTTCTTTCCAGAAAGAGGAAATGACGCGAGTCCACGCCTCAGGCCACAGCCCCCATGTCTTGCCCCCCGCCCCCATTTGGGGGACCTGGCCCCACAGACCTGTCCCCAGCGCAAGACTTGGGACGGCCCCTAGACCCGGGAAGCCTTCAGACTCAGGCCTAGCAGGCCTTCAAGGTAGGAGCCCTGAGTTCCTGGCCCTGGCATTAATTCTGAGTGACCTGGAGCAGGTTACCACTCCTCTCTGTGCTTCAGGATTCCCGTCTGTCAAATGGGAGCAGGAATACAGTCCTTGACTTCCCTCTTTTCACAGTGGCGGGGGCGGGGGGGGCGGTGAGGAAAACTATTTGGGAGGAGGGGGCAGCATTAGGAAAGCTATTCCGAAGCCCGGCCGCGTCCAAACCGGTTTCAACTTCCTGCAGCTCAAAAGAGCGGTCCCCACCCGAGAGCGCCGGGACCCTGTCCCGCGCTGCCTCCCAAGCCGGATCGGGTTGAGCGCGCCCACCCCAGTCCCGGGAGCTCAGGCCCCGCCTTGGGGGAGGAGCCGAGAGGCGGCGCGGAGGCTGGCGGCAGAGCAGAGCCGGCTCCGTAGCCGCTCGAGCAGCTGCGTCTCGCGGACCCACAGACAGAGCCGGGGTCGGGAGCCGCCCGGGGCAGGGCTCGGGAGAGCGGGTGAGTTCCCCGGCGGCGCCGCCTCTCTCCTGCGCTCTGCGGCTTCCCGGGGTTGGGGATTAGGATGGGGCGGGGAGGTGGTCCCAGCCTCCAGTCACCTTGCTGGGGCGGGGGCGCTTTGGCCAAGGACCGGGAGCTTAAGATAAATGGGGGTGTGGGGACTCGGGAAAGGCGGATACCGAAAGCGCCGGGTCCGGGAGCCGGGCTGGAGGGAGGACGTTCTCCCCGGGCTCGCGCTTCCTTGATGAGGCCAGGGGAGGGGACGCACTGGCAGGTCGTGGGCTGAGGCCGTCGTGGCCCGATCTTGAGGCGGGGAGGTGGGGTCCTCGGCCGGTTCTGGACTCGTGGGCCGCCGTCTGCCGGGGGTGCAATGCTGGGCGGCGGGAGCCACAGCGGACACCAAACGCGCCCCCGCGCCCACTCTCCTTGCCGGGCATGGGGGTGCCGCCCCCTCGCGTGGCGGCGCTTGGTCCCCGCGGGCAGTGGCAGGGCTCAGAGAGCGCTCCTGCCCGGGCGGGAAAGCTCCCCAGGGCAGGCGCCTCAGCCTGCAGACCCGCCCCGCCTCGGGATCTGGCTGACAGCTCCCGCCAGCCCGGGGAGACCCCGCGCGTGGTACTTCCCCGGGAGGGGCGCGCCCGGCCTCTCCCAGGGTCCCCCGCGTCAGGAGCGGTCCCCTCCGGGCTACTCCCTCTCACCGATTTCAGCCGGGAGGAGCGCCCCCGATCGCCGAGGATGGGCGGAGACTTGCAGCCGCCCCAGAGAGGTCGCCCAGAGGGGTCTCCCCAAGGTCACCCGGAGTGCCCAGGCTGAGCTGCCTGACCGCTCCGCGGAGAGCCGGGAGGGGGAGACGCTCGCTGCCCGCCTCCTTCCCCCATGCAGACTCCCTTCCTCCGCTCCCCTTCCCTGGCCCGGCCTCCGGCTTCACTGGAGATGCTGATGATGCAGCTCCCAGCCCTGGGCGGATAATTGAGCCTGGGAGAGCTTCGAATCTGGCCCTCCCGAGAGCCCAGGGTTGCGCCGCCGTCGCGTGCTGGGCCTGGGTCCCGGTGCTCCCGGGCACCTCAGTAGCGGAGGGAGAGGGACGTGGCTTCATCAGCGCTTCTCGGAACCGAAAACCGAGCTGCCTGCGCGCCCATGTGATTGCATTTCACATAAAGGGCCCCTGTTCTCACTGTCAGAAGCGACCCCCAGCTCTCCGCGGCTCTGGGCACCAGGTGCCGCGTCTGAATCACCCTCTGTGGAGGACTTGGGGCCCGGAGGTACCAGGCGCCCTTTCCGGCAGGGCTCTCCGTGGAAAGGGCCTGCCGATGGCGGCCTCAGTCCGCAGGGGTACTTCCCTGTGTACCCTGCCGTTTCCTGCGGCTGGTGAAGCACCGGAGAAAAACCCTCCATCTAGGAGGCCTCCTCCAAGGCTGGTAATAAAGCTTCTTAGCTCAGCTGGCAACTAGCTGTCTGCTCGTGGGCAAGGCACTTGGCCTCTCGAGCCTCACTTGCCTCTAAGAAACGGGGCTAACAGCCGCCAGGCTGTGGGGAGGTGAGGGAGAGGCTGGGTGCAGCAGAGCGGGAGGATGAACACTCCTTGGCCAATACGCCCCCGGGATTGGCTTTGAGTGGGGCGTGTCTCTCTTAGACAGGTGCAGAAGTGGAGCCCTGGTGGGTGGTTCTGCAGGGGCTGGGGGAGTTTCCACATCTTCCTCCCCCAGCTCTGTCATAAAAAGGCAGCTTGCAGGAGGCCGGTGGGGGCCCGCAAATCTTTCCAGCAGGCTGCCTGCTCACACGGCCCTTCCCACACAAATCTCCCATGCCCTTCTCTCCCACCTGTCACCCAAATCCCATCTTCCTGGCTGAGTCCCCAGGATGCCGAGGACAAGGTGTCAACCAGGCCACCCTGGACCATCAACTCTATACCTACCTGTCTACTGGGGTCTACCTGACAGTGCTCCCCTGCCCTGGAACCTTCCTGGCCCCAGCTTGTCCCAGCTTCTGGAATGTCTTCTTTCAGAAAGACTAGTGATCCTTCCTTCCCCTCTTTTGGTCTCCTGTCACTGTGACACTCATTAGTGGCTCTGTGGTTCTTGTGTCAGGGCCCTGTGCCATCTGTGCTCTCCAGATCATCCATGGCCTGGAAAGACATGGTAGGCCAGGTGCCCACTCAGACTTTGCTCTTTCTGGTAATTGACACTGGAGTGGAGGTTAAATTCTAATCTGTCTGTTAAGTGATTTCAGGAGCTTGAGCCACAGGGCTAAGAGGATGCTGACATAAGAAGATGGTTTTTCCTTAAAGCCAGAACCTTTCTCCTTTCTGCAGAGCCCATTTGACCCCTTTGGACACTAGGCCTATGTGTGATGGCCTGACAGAATCCTCACAACCCCATGAAGTAGGCATTACTGATCCCCATTTTGCAGTTGGGAAAACTGAGGCTCAGCTCCTCTCAAAACCAGCTCCATGCCCTGAGTGGAGCAACAGAGGCTGCAGCCAGCCTGGTTTAGCAGATGGCAGAAGGCATATCCCTCAATTCAGGTGCTGTGCTTGGATTCTCAGCCCTCGGCCCCCCCCAAACATTCCTTCCCCTCTCCCAGCCTAGCCACCACCCCTCCTGCACCCAGGACACTTGTCATGTTTGTTGAACAGTAGGTACCAACTGGCACTCTTCCAGCAGAGACCAGGAAAACTTTCATTGTCCTGAGTGCATCTTAGCAATTGGGCTTCAAGGAGGGCTTGGGCAAGCCTGCCTTTTGCAGAAAACTATGAGTATGAAGAATGAGGGAGCCAGAGGTCTAACTTAAATTAGGGATCTCCATCTAAAGTCTCTGTGGCTCTGTATACATTACTTAATCTCTCTGAGCCTAGTTTTCTCATTTGTAAAATAGGTATCATAGTAATGCCTACTTTGTGAGATTGTAAGGATTCCATGAGACCATTAACACATAGAAAGCGCTCAGTACTAGGGCTGGGCATGGTGGTTCACACCTGTAATCCCAGCACTTTGGGAGGTCAGGGAGGCAGATCATTTAAGGTCTGGAGTTCAAGACCAACCTAGCCAACATGGTGAAATCCCGTCTCTACTAAAAATACAAAAATTAGCCCAGCATGGTGGCCTATGCTTGTGGTCCTAGCTACTCGGGAGGCTGAGGCACGAGAATCACTGGAAGCCAAGAGAAGGAGGTTGCAATGAACTGAGATCACACCGCTGCACTCCAGGCTGGGTGACAGAGCAAGACACAAAACAAAGAAAAAAACCAAATTGCTCAGTACAGCATCTGGTGTGGGTAGGAATGCAGGAAATGATCATTGTCATCATCACTACTATTTCCTCCTTTGTGTTGGGCTCTCAAATGTCCCACCTTCTCCAGTGCCAGGGTGGGGAGTGAGTTAGACCCTGTCTCTTCTGCCTGTAGCCATCAGGACAGGGAAAGCCTCTCAGCCTGTCTCCTGGGGTGGGGGTGGGGGTTCACTCCTGGGAACTTTGAGTCTAGCACCAGCTTTTCCCCGGGGAGTCTGTGAGCAGCCACTTAGCCTTTCTCAGCTGACTGCCATTTTCCAGGATTCATTGATTCATTCAAAAGACGTTTATTCCATCCCAGCCCTTGTGCTTAGCAAGGGATTTCAAGATGAATGAGGCAGCTCTCAGGGTTCTCCCTCTATCGGGAGAGGCAGGGCTGGAGACAGATAATGAGGACACTGTGGGATAAAGCCTTCAACAGCAGGAAGAGAAAGTGGAGAGCAGATCCACGTGGCTCAGGATGACCTAGGTTTGAATCTTGAAGCTGCCACCTTGTAGCTATTGAGGATGGACAGAAGCCTTGCCTCTCAAGCAGATAAGCCACCTCCCTAGGGTGATGATGTGAGGAGAGAAGTGAGACACTGTGGGTAAAAAACCGAGCTTGGACTGGGTGCAGTGGCTCATGCCTGTAATCCCAGCACTTTGGGAGGCTGAGGTGGGCAGATCGATTGACTCTGGGAGTTCGAGACCAGCCTGGGTAACATGGCAAAATTCCATGTCTACAAAAAATACAAAAAATTAGCCAGGCATAGTGGTGTGCACCTGTAGTCCCAGCTACTTGGGAGGATGAGGTGGGAGAGTCACCTGAACCAGGGAAGTGGAGACTGCTGTGAGCCATAATTGCTTGTGCCTCTGCACTCCACTGGGTGACAGAGTAAGACTTTGTCTTAAAAAAACAAAACCAAAAAACTTAAAAACCTAGCTTGGGCTTTCTAGATATTAATAAGTGCTCACAGATGTTCATTGCTATTATTAGCCTATTATTGCCAATAACAGGTGGGGAAAAGTTGCTGTGGGAGCACATTGAGCCCTTCAGTGGCTGTTTTCCAGTCGGTGGGGTGGCCCTAGTAGAGAGAAGAGTGTGTGCAGAGGAACAGAGGCTTAAAGGTGCTGGGTGTTTTTGGAGAGCAGTGGGAGAAGTTGCTGATGGAGCAGGGTCACCAGACTGTGATGGGGGCAGAAGCAAGGCCAGGGAGGTAGCAGAGGCCATCCTGCCAGGAGCCCTGAAGGATTAAACACTCACTGACCCGAGGCAGTCCCTCTGCACCTTCCTTAGAGGGTGGCCCTCTAGTGAAGGTTTTCCAAGAAACTTCAGGATTAACTTTTCATGGGAGGAAGGGCTGGCCTCTGCTCAACTGTCCTACCTTCACCATCCTTCCCTCTTCATTCCACCCAGGAAGCATGAAGAAGAAGAAGAAGAAGAGGTCCACTCCCTCTTCCTGAGATGCTCTTCCCACCTCTGCACTTGTTTCTCTTTTCCTGGGACTCAGTTTCTCACTTGAAAGAAGAGGATAGAGGTGGAGGGAGCATCGTGACTTCTCACTTATCAATCGTGATATAGTACCAAGTGCATTTCAGGATGCTGGTCACTGTCAAAGGTTTTTACTTGCATCACCATTGAATTCTTATACCAATCTGTTGAAATGAATGCACTTATCCCCCACTGCACAGAGGGAGAAATTGAGGTGCAGAGGATGAGGCAATTTGCTGAAGGGA